ATAATTTTGATTGTTGCATTTAATTCGTTTTAGAAGTGGCATCCCTAGTTTTGAGTTAACAAAGTACACCTTATAAATTGAATAATCGAGACCAAAAGCGTCGATCCTCGTGGCCTCGTGAATTTCCTTCTTTTTTCTTTTTTTTTTTTTTTTTTTTTTTCTCGTTAAATGACAATGCCATTTAAATCACGCTATGAATACTGCGCGTTCAGGCTTCATCATTGTCTCTAATTCAACGTGACGCATTTTGAGTAAGTCGACACAGTAGTTAGGAATGCATCCTGTCGTGAATGACGCTTCCCGTTTCTCTCGTTTCGATTCGTCGATGCTCGAACAATAGGGAAATTGTGTCCCCGAGGCTAAGTTATCCGAGGCTAAGGCCAACAATGTACGATTGAACTTGACGATGGAAAATGGAAATTTCTTCGATTATTCGTGTTGAATATTCGAACGACCATCGACAGCACATTGAGACGATTATGTTCGAAGCGAGCCATTTCCAGAAAATTCTGACTAAATAGATACTGCAGTTGAGATTGGTGACCAATTAGTGTCGCGTTTTTTAAATTCCTTTAAATTGTTATTCACACGATTGAAACCTTCGTATTTATTCCTTTTCTTCTTCGACTCACCTGACGACTCCAATGATCAATGAAAAATTAAAATTCGAGATATTTCGATTTTTTTTTAAATTTTTTATTTTGAATCCTCTCGAGTTGACCGATCAATTACTCGTTCAACAATAATTATTATCACTGTGCTCGATGAAAGTGAAATTTTCAAATTCGAGATATTTCGATTTTTCAAGTTTCTAGTTTAAATTCTCGTCGACCGATTAATTATTAATTATTATCATTGGCTCCTGATTTGCCAAGATCGTCCTTTTCCGAATAACTTGCACCCTTAAATAGTTATTTTTGAATTTATCATAATGATTACAATGTCGCAATGTTGTCGTGTATCATCGATAACACTCGACAAAAGTGGCTCCGTTGACTCTCGACAGAGAAGAGAAAATGCGCTTTTCGTTATTTAATTTTAGCTGGCGCATCAAACTTAGGATGGACGACACACACGTGCATGTGTGTTTATTTCTTAATTCGTGCGAAATCTTTTCTTCTTTTTTCTTTTTTTTTTTTTTTTTTTCTCGATAAGAAGAAAGTGGAAAAATTTTGGGTTTTGGTGACGATAGTCACGATAGATTTTTTTTCTTATCGGTTTGATCGAAGAAGCTCCTCTTTATCGTTGCCAACATTTCTCTTGCCCTAATCTGGTCAATTATGCCTGAACGTCCTTTGAAACTTTTTTCAACTACATTATGTGTATGTTGTACGAAAGAATACAAAAAAAAAGAATATGAAATCGTTTCTGGAAGTTGCAAGATATTTAGAAATCGCAAATATATATATATATAATATATATAATATATAATATATAATATATATATAATATATAATAT